TGAGTTTTGGGGCAACACAAACATTGTCTTTGGTAGTCGCTGATAACAGGAATTCATAGTAACTGGCTACCATTTATTGAGGGCTTGCTCAGGTACTTGTTAGCTTATTCAGTCCTCAAAGGATCCTGCCAGTCATCCTCAACCTGTTCCCAGATGAGGAACCTGATTTAGAAGGACGAATGAGGTCAGTTGCAGGAGGCTGCCCAGTTGGTAGGAAGATGGAATGGGGACCCAAGCGCGCCTCCGTACATAGGGAGGGTGTCCAAAGTGCTGGCCCAGCCATGCTGTGCACACCCAGAGGTACAGTAGGCACTCTTACTATCCCAGAGTTGACTCTCGAGCAAATTGTGACAGACTTACTTTTGCATTGTGCAATCAATTCAGTGTTATTTCCTTTTTTAAAAAGAACTAGAAAAGAATTGAACTTAGAAAATATCAGAGCACATTATTATCACATGAATCTTGGGTGAGTGTGTGAAGCAGGTTGCCATATAAAATGATTTTACCAAAGGGCTCTTTCATGGCTCTGTCTCATTCAATGTTTTTAACAGACACGTTGAAGCCTTGTTTATCTTATCTTGCAATCTCGAAGCTGGGGGGCAGAGCTAACATGTCAGATGGCCAAATCAGGATCATCAAGAATGTGAACTCACGTAAGATGGGTAGAAACTATAATAAAATGAAATCTTAACAGTAGGGCATACACATAACCCCACATTTGTGTTCCAAATATTGACTGTGAGTGCATGATGGGAAAGAGACCTGACAGTAGACCACGTGAAAATGACCTGGAGCAGTCAGACCCAGTTCCACATGGACCAACAGTACAGTGAGATAGTGGAGTGTCCCCAGTAAGGGAGCACTCAATTCGGCACTGCTATCACTGCATCTGAGGCTTTGCCCAGACGTGGCTGCCACACCATAAAGGCCACATAACGTCATGATGGTGGCAGGTCTGAAATCCATGAATGCCTGAGCGTTGAGATGCCCTGATGTCTTTATGAGCTTTATATCTCTAAAGGACTATCAGGTGAAAGCAGGTGCCAGCCAGCTCTGTGTAGCCTGGGATGGCCATTAGGGCCTGTCATTGATGAGTGAGTTGCAGGCAAAGTTTCAGCTTAATGTTATGAAGCTCAATACAAGAGGAAAGCTCAAAGCCCACCTTTCCAGGGGACTCCTGTCTAGGGCACATATGTGTTGGTGGAGAGTGGCAGCAACGTGGGGCTTCGTCCAGCTCCAAACCCTGGAGGCTCATCAGAATCAGCAGTGTTGCTTGTTTAAAAAGTATATATTTCAGCCTCGCATCTGACCTACTGAGTCAAAATCTTCAAGGGTGGGGTTGGAGAACCTCTGTACTTTTGAAACCTACCAGGCAGACTGTTCTAGATTAACAGAGACCAGACATGACAAGATACAAGGCACAAACCTTGGCTGACACCTGGGTATTCAAAAAAAGTATAAGATTTTTGGGGAAAGTCTAGGCAAACCTTGAGACATTGTTCATTAGATGATACTGAATTCTTGATAATTTTCTTAGATGTGATAACAGTATTCTAGAAATATAGGGGAATGTCTTTATTCTTAGGTGATACAGACCAAAGTATTAAAGAATAAAGTGTCATGTCCACAACTTTTTTTTTTTAAACCAACGAATTACCTTTAAATGGTGGTTCAAGAAAAAGAGAAAACAAATGGGACAAAATATTGAGGGGAGAGGATATTCTTAATTCTCCCTTCAACTTGTCTGTAAGGACATTTTTCAAAATAAAGTTGGGGAAAATTAAGCCAGCTAGGCTTAATTATGAGCCAAACATGAGGCCCACTGGACAAGACAGCCTCTGCTGTTGCATCTGGCCTGAGAGCCTGCACCCTGGGGTCCGAAGCCGACTGCACCCTCTGCGGATTACACAGCTGGAGATTCTGCCGTTGGACAGTGTCCCCGCAGACTCTTGAGTCTTGCAGGGTGGCATTAGACCACAGTGACCCCTAGAGGTACTCTGCACTCAGGGACAGACCAGCCACTAGGCCATAATGGCATGTCCAGGAACACTAAAAGGGAAGTCCATCCACCACATCCCCACTGCACACCCCAAACTGCACAGGGTCCACATTGAAGTTCGGTTCATGTACCTGGCCCACTCTAAGGACCTAAGAAGGGCCAGTCCCTGGAGGAGAGGCTGGCCTGGAAAGGCAGCCCTGGATCCCCTGATGGATAATCTCCACGAACAACATCTAGAAAGGCAGGCGGAATGAGGTGGGGCGTGGAGGCAGGCAGGAGCAAGAGTGCCACGCCAGCTGTGAGCAACCCTCCTGACCAGTTCCGGAAGAATGAAGGAGGACGATGCAGTGTGCCCAGAAGACATAAGGGCACACAGGTGCAGCTGTGAAGGACTGGGCAGGGATAGCTTCAGCGATGGGCTGCTGATCTGAGTGACAATGACGTGTTCACAGGGATGAGGCAGGGTCATTCCGGGAGTGGGGCTGTTCCAGGCTGAGCCCCGCCCTGCAGGGGTGCTCCTTCAAGATCACACTATGTCTCTCCTCTGGGTGCTTCAGAGGCCTGACAGAGGGGCAGAGGTTTTCAGCTGTTTGAAGGTCAAGGTGCAAGGCAGCAATGCTAGCCAGCAGTAACAGGCTGGGACACCTGTCCTACCTTTGCCACACACAACATTGGTCAAATGTTCTCAATCCAGAGACCAAGAGCCTGGAGTCTCAAATAAAGATGTCACTGGGGGTGCGGAGATCAGAGACTAACCCTCACCCACAGATAGGGCTTCTGGCAGCAGAGCCCATGAAGATGGCTACAGCCTTCCCCTTGGCCAAGATACTCCCTGAGCATCACTGGACAGAAGGCAGAGAATTTGGCCTGAGAATTTGGCTGGCTCCAAGTAAGGACCAACTAGAGGCTAACTGGCTCAGGTGGGTATAGAGGAGCTTATTCGATCAGGGGACAGACTCGTGCTGGGAGTGGCCTAGGGATCTCCTGCATCCGAATCCAAATAATCAGCAATCCTACCAGGGGAGGCTGAAGTGATTTGATCCTGGGGAAAATTCTAAGCTGTACTGAGTATTTACATTTCAGTTTGTTCTCGGGACTCTTAAGTGTTCAGACAAGTCAAGCATCACTCCTGTAGACCAACACAACTCCTCCACTTGAAAATGAAGACCGGGAGACCACATTTTTTATTATAAGCATGGATCTCTATTTTTCACAATGACCAGGTAGCACTTTTCATACTAAAAACCTAAGGCACTTCAATTTATTATCTAAAAATCAAGATTCTCCACCATCTAGGTGGAGGGGCAGGAGTGAGAAGAGCATGGGAAATAAGTCCAAGGCTGAAGAAAATTCAGGCCAGAACAGGACACGGAGCCAAATGTGGGGGAAAGGAGATGGGGGCTCACCTCTAGAGATGCACACCAAGCACCCAGGACTTCTCCCACAGAGCCTCCCCCACAGGCTCTGGGAGAAACACCACACCAGGAGGCCCCACCATCACCTCTCCAATGAGAGAAAGTAACAGATTTTTTGGTCACAGTGACATTTTGGCTCTTTATCCCCGAGAAGAGAAGGACAGGCATAAGCTAATGGCAAACAGTGTGATAAAACAGACTGGTATTAATCAGGCTACTGTGTTCTGACCCCCCAACTTCTTTCTTTTTTATCCAAATAAAGGAGCAGAACAAGGTCAGTCATTATCAACCTACCTTTATTTTAAAGCCTTGGCATTTCTGTTAGAGACAAACACACAAAACACCACAAAAACTGTTCGTGCAATACCACTTGGAAAGACGGGAGAGCTAGGATACGTTTAGACAAGCTCCTGGGCCCTATTTTAAGGTATTTCGCTGCCTATACTTAATGGTAGCCCTTGAAAGAATTCCACGTAAACCCAAATCTAGAGATCTGGCTCAGAAAAACAGCTGCTGTTTCCCTCAGAGATAATGAGAATTGTCTTTGAGTCTTTGGCCCAAAGCACCACCTGCCCTGTGCTACCCAGGTAGGCAAGCAGGCCCAAGAGGGAAGCAAATCATGAGCTGGTAAAGCCGTGGACACAGACCCTTCTTAGGTCCCTTAACCTTTGGAACAAGCTGCTCACCTGGAAAGCAGAGAACATAGCAATGTGGCACCATCCGGTCACTAAAAGAACTGCATCCCTAGAGTCAAGTAGGGGCTCTGATAAACCCCACAAAGCAATGCCCTCTAACTTCCAAACACCTGCGATTGTTTCTTCCCAAAGAGACAAGGAGGGTTCAAGTCAGAGGATACTCAAGACCCTTTGGCTCGATGGCAGACAAGAAACCAGACCCCTCTTAGCAAGCGGGGCCCAGAATCACCAATACCCATGTGTATACATTTCTAAGTCAAAAGCCCCTGTATTATTTCAATCTACGTCATGCTGTCTTTCTTCTCGGCCCCATATGCCTCCTATCTCTGTAGGTTACTTCTTCAGAAAGGTGAACCCTGGACAAAATACTTAAACTCCCTAAGGCTTCATTTCCTCACGTGTAAAATGAGGACAGTGGTATTTACCTCAGAGAGTCACTGTAGGATAATACTCGTAAAGCATTGAGCTTAGTATACAGAACACACTAGGTGAGCAGAAAATGTTGCTGAGGGCTTCTATAGGACAGAAATGCAGGGTCAGCAGGCCTGTCAGAGAAGGAGCAAGAAACGAATACGTAACACAGTAATGCATGTGGACAGGACAGCACACAGAGGATATCTAAAAGCCACCTCCAAGACCAACTCGGGTCCCATACAATGCTGGGCTCCAGGAAAACTGAGCAGATACATCAAAGATAGTGCATGATTCAAGGGCACGAAAACAAAATGCCTTCACACGCGAACATCCAGAGAGAGACAAAAACAGCGTCATCTTGTGGTCAGAGTCTCTGTGAACCTGACACAAGATCAGCATCCAATCTGTAGGTCTTACAGCTTACAGTTTCCTTAATAATGAGTTCCCGTGTCAAATAAAAAACTGAGAATTTTTTAGATCTTTCACCTTTTGGGGAGAAATTTAGTCTGAAATTTAGGATTTCATCATTTCTTTAAAGCAAAGCCACTAGAACACATTAGCCTGAAGAGGACACACCTGCTTCATTAGAGATGCTGTCACACATCTTCTGAGAAAAAAAACTAAGATGGCTTTCTCTCCAGGATTCCTGACTGCTCCTTAGCTTTGAGTTCTTCTAGTTTCTTCTTATAGCGGTTCATGAAGTAATCATCTGGTTCAATCCCTGCGTTCTTCAAATTTTCCATGACCTTTTCCAGTCTGAGTACTGATCGGGCCCCCTCAATCTTTCTTGTGCTCAGGTACAGAGTGAACTCCTGGAAATCCAGGAGCTTACAGGTGTCCACAGAGCAGATATTCCTGATACCACTAGTTCTATCCAAATGAGGAAAAAACACCAGTCCTGATAACTTCTCCAGGTCCTGAAGGCTCACTTGGAATTCACTTAACTGCGGTTGGAAGCCAATGGCGTCATTGGGCACCACAAAGGCCCCTAGTGCCAGAGGTTCAGTAGACACTGGGCTTCTGCGGGCCAGGATCACCTTATAGAGGTGTGAGGGGACAGCCACGTTGTCCTCACCGATCACCTAAAAACAAACAGCCACATTAGCAATGCTAACTGATGCCAGCAGTTCCCAAGTTTCTCCTGAAAAGATTTTCAACACATTTCTGCAAAGGCATTTATAAGTTACCCCACCAATGAATTTAAATTCAAGGTTCACAGAGAAGATGAACATCTAACAGGTAGATTCTGATCACATTCTTTAAAACAATGCCACCCCAAAGAGTAGAGGTCACATCCTCTGCTCTGTTTGTAGGACAAAGGGCAAAGGAATGCCCTGGGTTTTTAACAGGCAAGAAAAGCTGTGATTTTCTCTTCATCACATAATCAGAACTTCTGGTGCTCTAAACATTCAAAGGTCAAAACTGCCAGCTTGGTAACTCCCAGCTCGAGAAATAAAAATATGGCCTTAGTTTATCAAACTCACTAGGGAGCTAAACAAATAGCTCTCAGAAAAGCAGCCAGACACACTACATCGGTATTACTAGCTCCAGTTTTGCCTAGACCGTGGCTCATTTTTGAAATTAAATTAAGTAAATGTAAATGCTGCTTACTTAAGTTTTGCACACTCTTGAGCCTATTATCAAACACAGAACTTCTGAATGTGTTCGCAAACCAAACACTCTGGAAAGGTATCCATACAACAGAGAAGCCAGGGTCAGGCCTACACACAACTTGCTTGCCTGTGTAGGTCAGCTCTAATAATGAAATAACATTATTATGGAACCTTTTCAAATTTCCTTCCAATTGGCTTTTAAGCCGTATCTGTTTTCCGAAAAAGGAAAACTGAACATCCATTTCCTTAATGGTCTCCAATAAAATGATACAATCCAACTACAATATGCATGTGTACTGCTACCCCTCCGGGGCCCTTCCTCGGTCCGAGTGGGCATTTGCTCCTGCTCAAACCTGCCTGTCGCCGGAGGCTATGCTGGGAGCCCAGATAAGGCAGAGGGATGAGAGCTACAAGGATTCTTTCCTGCTTTTCTCCAGCTTCTACCTACATGGCACACAGCCTAAGAATGCCATGGCTATCTGCTGTCTGGCACGCATGGAGGTTCCACTGCCAAGACCAACTGCAGGCCTGCAGGGAAGCCCCATCTACAGGGCTGATTTCTGTAACTACTATCTCTCAAGTTAGTGAAGGGCTCACTTGAGAGTAAAGCTTATGAAAGTACACAATCTATAAGCACAAAACCCTACAGCCCTCCAACAAGTCATTTATGCAGCTAGGAAAAAGAACATACTCTCTTCAAGGCAAAAAACACTGAAGGTGAACTCTACGGAGGTTCACAATTAGCCCACAGATCACCAACAGAGGTTAATGCAACAATGCAACTCAGAGGGGCTATGACTGGCACTGCTGGAAACACAGAAAGGAGCAAGCTTTACAGTGAATGCCCTAGTGTCTGTTCTCAGGAAGCTTCCCAGCTAGAGGAGGAGTCAACCCCCACTGCTTTCACGGGAGGCAGACTGTGGTCAGATGCCGATACAGAGCACAAGACAGCTAAAGGAAGCGAGGGACCAGAACTGAGGGCACAGATGCAGCTGAGCCATAGTTCACAAGGGGGGTAGAAGTTTAAATGGGCTTCCGAGGTTAGCTGGGGCGCCAACAGTTAAGCAATTCCTTGATGCCACCTGGTGGACATCCTCCATCACTGCAGCACAACCTCAGACTCCCAAGTATGAGGAGCCTTCCAGACCCACTCACTTGATTGTTTTCTCTCCTCGTGGACTCTTTGTCTACAAACAAAAATTTCAAGAATAATTAATTGGTCATGCCCATCTGCTGCCAACCAGGCTTCTAATCAGAGTCATTAAACTCCAGCCAATAAAAATAAATCATTTCTCTTGTGGGTTTTAAAAACCCACACAATAGCTAGAGGATGTCCATTACTACTTTTAAGAATCCTCATGGGACACAAAAATTCCTACTAAGAACCATAAGGTAGGATCATTTCACCCATGACCTTCTCAAAACACTTCAACAAGGAGGAGCAAAATACTACCCCTAAAAATAAAGAGAAAAATGAAAACTTAGCCACTATCTTCTCTGATTCAGTCTGCTTTGTTCTTAGGAAGTAAACATCTGTAATCTGTTTAAAATAGGAACCAGCAACATTTGGAAATTCAGAAAATCCATTCTTTTCTTCCTTCAATTTAAGACTTAAAAAAAAAATCCTAATTTTCGAGCTATCTTTGTAGACAACTCACCTACATAATAAAATTCTCCCAATTCTGGGAAAACTAGAATCTTTCATAAAATGTTTCTAGAAACTGCTAGGGACTGGAACCCCAGAGACTTGGTCAAGTCCTGGCTTTGCCACAAGGCTGCAAGTCATGTTCACTGATATCTTCCTTCTTCATTCATAAAATAGGTAATAACTACCTTCATGCTACCTATCTCACAAAATAGTTATGAAGATACAAAGACCCTTTAGTTTCAAAAAAAAAAACGGTTTTAAAATCTGCAAGACCTATGCAAAAAGCAATTTTTGTAGTGGATGTCATTCAAAGGATAGGATGTATTTGCATTTGGTACAAAAGGTGGTTCTGCTGAGGGACAGTGGGGAAACACGGGGTCAAGCAAGATTAGACCAGTTAAAGGTGGACAACAGGATTTCAAGAGGAAGCAGGATGGACACAAATGACACCCTCAACAAAAGACTTGGGGGCTGAACATGAACCAAGTCTTCAGTATCAGTAAATCAGCAACGATCCTTGTCATGGAAGATGTAGATGTAAAAATACTTTAGAGGAAATCCTCACTGCTGTTAAATTACCAAAAAGCATGGAACTCTTGTCAAGATTGTAACAAAAACTGGAAATCAACCAGGTGTAACTAGTAAACACAATATAAAGAAGAGCCATAAAGCTGGCACACACTCACCACCTAGAGTTAGTCTGCGTACCTGCTGGCCTGAGGTTTCCTTCTGCCCAAGAGACAGAAATGACACTTTGCTCTCCCCCGCCCCAGCTCCACACACGCAGAACTGGGCCTTCACACTGACTCAGTGCCAGAAGAGCCTGGCAACAAACAATATTCAGGCTAGGTCTGCCATTTGTCCAGTCCTATACATATAGCAACTGTGACGTAAATAAAATTAAGCAGCAGCACAAAGAAAATTTATGTACCTGCTAGAATCAGATAGATATATTTGGTTACATTCCCTTGGTAGGACAAAAAAAGAAAATCCAAAAATAAAACTGTTGGACACATCAAGAGACCAAGCCCTTAAAAAGTCAAGCCAATGAAGTGCAAGAAAGAAACCATAACAGTGTGATAAATAGGGACTCCACAAGGAGGAACAAGGAAAGAAGGGAGTTGGAACATGTGGGACAGTCAGCAGGCAGGTGGCCAGCCCTTATGTGGCATGTCAAGCCTCTAGAGGAGCTTGTGCAGCAGCAGAGACCCAGGGAGACCGTGCCACTCACACTGGGCGCCTGCTCACACTGGGCACCTGCTCATACTGGGCGCCTGCTCCGCATAAGGAGGCTGGAGACCGACTGCCAAGTCACAGGACAACAAGCACCACCTTCCCAGACTGTCGATTCTACTTGGAGATGTAGGGTGGGAGTAAGGAGATACTTAGCCAGTAAAATCATTTATTTTTCAATTAAAACAGATACGGAAATTAACAAAAGCTCTGCCTAAAGAGAAAACAGGAGACTTAAAAAAAGAAATGATTCCCAGATCACTTCAGGTGATGCCTCAGGATTCCTGGAGGCATGTTTTTTAATTTCCTTCCCCTCTAGGAACTGGTTTGGAATTAGTATGGAAAGTAATGCTGTAGAATGAAAACAATGTTAATGTTAAGTACTTCTAACATTACCACACCACCACCAAGTTGAAAAATTTGAAGCTCACTTTCTTGTTAGGTCAATTATAATGTTTCAGGCCAGAATCTTCAGGTATGTTTCACTTGTCTGGAATCAACCTCTTCTTGAAACAGGCACATCAGAGAAAGCACATGGATGACCTCAGCTATAATAAAGGGGGTGATTCTGATTAGAGCTGTCAGATGACTCACTTCTGATAAAATCACTGCTACTAATCTTCCCCTGGGCTCACAGTCACTGAAGTCCTATGATGCTGTGATTCTTTCCTGCATATCCTAACAGACATTTCTGCCGGGCTATAAGGGATCCTCTTCTTGGCCCATTTTCTGTTCTTATTTTTGCTTGCTAGCAGGTATCATTTGCAACTGTTCTCCATCCTCACCATCTTCTACCTCCTAGCCTTAAGCTGCTGTATGGGAAGAGCACAGCAACCCCTTTACTGTAGACTTTTGAGAGCTCTGAAGAACAACGCTATAGAATGATTGGCGGTTCTCATACAAATAGACAGACCCTTGTTTAGAGCTCCCCTTTGACAATGACTAGCTATGTGAGTTGGACTGGACCCCTTTAAACCTCAATTTCCTTTCCTATAAAAGAAATTTCCCAAGTTCGCGCATATGTATATGTGTGTACACATATGTATAAAACGTTTGGCCCAACTAAATTCTTAAAATGACAAACTGAAACAATTTTTCCAATTTAATTTACCAAAGGATCATATTTTGCTTTTATGCTAACAGATACACTACCGATTTTTAACTTTAAAATTCCACCTGAAATCATTTGATCTGAAAAAATAATGTCACATCTAACAAAAGCTGCATTACTACAGAGAAGCTGTTAGTGAAAAATATAAATATAAAAAAGTAAATCACTTTGATACAATTCTTAAAAAAAATAAAAACTGGTATCTCTCTCCAGGGCGATACATTCCTATCAACATTCCCCTTTGCATACACACACACATAACACATGCGCACAGGTAAGTGCTTTCTTTACAACCAGGGTCTATAAATCTCAAAAAAACAGAAAGGAACAATGAAGATGAAGAAAAAACAGTGAGCCACTAAAGGCAATAGAATTTGTATACTATGTTCTTCGGGGCTCTCTCCACCCACTATAAAAGGCTAAAAATAAATGTGGTGAACACACATGACAAGCCAACAGCAGACCGAGCACTCAAGA